CAGAATGAAACAAAATGTGTTCACAAAGTATTTTAAAAGGATGCAGTGACATGCGTATCCATGTCTAAAGGAGCTCACAGAACCGTAACAATTCCAAATCTTCCATCAGTAGTCTTTAATTGCTCTCCACATGAAAAAGACTAGACATGTAACCAATTTTAAAGTACTTTTACTCAAAGTACAAGGATTTTTAATCATATATCCCAATGTGTAACAAGCCATCTCTATAAAGATGTTCTGTCGCTTTGTTTTAGTCAAATGTATTAAATCCCATATTTAGTCACCTCTTGGGATCCAAACATTTGGGCGGCACGGTGGCTGAGTGCATAGCACTCTCGCATCTCAGCAAGAAAGCCCTGGGTTAAAATCCTGGTTGTAAAAGGGCTTTACTGAGTGGAGTTTGCATGTTCTCCCCATGTCTACGTAGATTTCCTCCGGGTACTCCGGTTTCCCCTACCACTGAAAACATGTACAATAGGTCTGGCATGCACCTCCTGTACTGGTGACCCTGCTCCCATCTCTGTGTGGAGTGAGAGGACAAATGGCCACAATTGTAAACCGCTTTGTGACTCTTGTCTGTGAAAGGCGGTATATAAATGGTAATAAAATAAAAATAAAAGGTACAAAACCATGCATAAATGGGAAAAATTCTCAATCACTCTCTAACATGGTTGCTGTTTGGAGGAAGTACGAGAAACATATTTTACAACAGTCCATATATCTACTTTCTGTGTTTTTGATTGACTAAACAAATGGCCCAACAATAGTCCTCAGAATCATAAGGTCTCCTGTAAATCAGCTCGTGTTGTCAAGAAGTTGCTTAGAGACATCTATCTGAAAGTTTTTCAAGTGATCCGTTCGGTGCGCATTTTATTCAGAAGTGACAGAGAACAATGAAAGGTGTGTTAGCAGATGTAAAATTGTCTGCTTTGCATTCGAACCCGTAAACAATGGGCTTGATAACACTCAGCTTGTATCATCAGTCACATTCGTACCGCTGCCTTGATAGCACTTTCAAACCACACACTTTTCTAATGTTTATCTTCAATGGGCTTTTGCTACTACTCTACAGATTCTATGCGTGTCTGTACAAACGCAGGCTGTGCAGAGCTATGGGGCACCGTGGGTCACTAAAAGGTTCTTGAACGTCAGTTTTTGACCTCCTCTTGGAATATCCTTAATTACAGCTGCAGTAAAAGTCCATTGCGTCAGGTCTCTGCAATTGGTATCTTACAATTTCTATGAAACATGCGTCTACAACTGTGTGGAGTGGCCTGGTGTTCCCATAGGTCTCCCATCACGGTGTTAACTTGGTCCTATACCCTCTGTGTAGAAGTCTCTCAATACGGGGCACATCTTTGACATGTTAGTGCCATACAAACCAACTTGTGCTAAACATGGGGATTCAGCTTTTCAGATTCATGCAGCAAAAATGAGAAAATGAGCAAATTTGAGACAGGCTTGTGTTGAAATCCAGGTCTAAGACAGTCAGATAATTGTGATAATTCATGTTTCCTTTGATGCTCCTAGATATAAAATATGTTTTAAAAATATAGAATATGTGGTGGTAGACCTGGCCAAGAGCACCTTGGTAACAACAGTGGGAAAAATGAAATGCATTTTGGATGCATTATTTTTTTCCCTTACATTACACTTTTAGATGTCCTGTGAATGAATTATGTTACAAAAAACATGCCTTGCCTTCAAAGGCCTCCTGAAAACTTGCACCATACGGTCCAGGGGATATACAGTATAAATGCATTTCAAGATCTGTCTATGTTGTAATTTTCCCCCTTTGCCTGTACCCACCCAACAATGTCGTTGGTTGGCTTTCCTAGAGTATGAACTGTGCTTCCAATTAGCCTTTATTCCACTTCTGTACTTTACAAATAAACTGGAAATCTCTTATTACAATACAATTTTGACACATGCCTGTTTTCATTCAGTTGTAAATTTGGAAAACTATGGCAGCAGAATCTGGAATCAGTTTTCATATTCCTTGGTTCAATCCGAGTTGTACTTTTACCACATTACGTCTTGATATATTTTGATAAATATCCCACAACATCCTTCATAATTGTTTACTAGTTTCTGTCATTTTCCCATTGTCCACTGCAGAAGGGTGAACTCTTCCCTTAGGCTACGCTTCCATTAGAATATGGATGTCTCTGGTGCCGTGCGAGCCTCAGCCGGGACACTTCAGCTAAGAGCCTGCATGAGATGACCTGTGCGCGGCCCTCCTCCCAGCCGCTAATGCAATGTGACGAGGATATGTCCACTTCCATAAATAATACAGGCACAAGAGCTAGCAGCGCCGTCGCTATGTTTACATGGCAATTAGGTGTCACCTCTGCTCACTTTGATATTAATTAAAATGTAATGTGCTTCAGTTATTTTGCAGCTACACAAGTCGTAAAGGCGTAAACAGCCACTAATAAGTACAGAACAACCTCTGCCTGCATTCAAATATATAGACATTTTAATCTCTAATTTAACGGATTTGCAGATGACTTTAAGAGCGATAAGGTTAGGAAATTATTTGAAGATCACAAATGATCTTTAGGCAAGGAAGGTTTATAATTTAGTACAGCTCATCGACAAGGCAACTTAAAGTGCTTGACAATACAAGAAAAGAACCTTTAGAATCACACATGAATAGTCATGGTACATTTGAAGAAGTACAGTTAAAATCTTTCAGTTGTATGCACAGTTAAACAGATCTGTTTTAATCTGGATTTGAGCATTGTCTGAATAGAAGCCTGTCTCACATTTTTATGAAGACTATTCCAGATTTTAGCAGCATGAATCTGAAGTGCTGCCTTCCCATGGGTAGTCCTGACTCTGGGCACCAGGAGGCCAGTCCCTTTTCTCCTCAGAGTCCCAGCAAGAGGCCAGTCCCTGTGCCCCTCAGTGTCCAGGTTGGTTCATGTGGCACTAACATGTCACAGATGTAGAGAGGAGAAACATCGGAGGCACTCTTGACAAATAACAATTGTCACTCTTGACAAAATATTTTATCATCAAGAGTATCCAGGATTTTTACAGGATTTTCCCTCCTGCTGATCATGGTGAGAACCTGAATTTAAATCCACTGCAACACTCAACACAGTATATGTCACGGATGTACTTTGGTGCCAGGACTTGTACACAAGCAGAGCTGCTTTAAAGACTATTTTCTGAGCCACAATCGATCAATAATGGGAGTAAACACGAGTTGAAATATCATGCTGTAATCATGAAAATCTTGGTTCAAGTGACTATTGCATATTTGAAACCTGCAATATGTGGACAAGGTTTCTCAATGAGTTATGAAACAATGAGCATACACTGGGATTTTGTCACAAAGTCCTGTTCCACGGTTCATTCAGGTCCTTTTTGTCAACCAGGTTTTCTTGTTTAAAAACACAATGACTGCTTTTGGTAATACACACACAGTTGTATATGAAGTAAAAACAAAAGTGTATACAATGATTGTATCAGTGAGTGATAATTGGCAATCTCTTTAACATCACACCGCAAATGTCTAAAAGGCTGAAAAAACAGATTATTTAAGCATGGTGAACTCTATCCAACACTGCTCAAGCATTTGCACATTGCCTAAAAAGTCCCCCTAAAATCTGCCTAAATCTTCACTATTGTGTGTCCTGGTAATTGGCACACTTGCTTTGGCATCATACATTGGGCATCAGAGAATCGTTCAAACCAAGCAGATAATAGTTCTTCATACCCTCCATTTAACAGAGTGGGCATTTTGATAAGAACGTAAACTTGTGACACTTCTCAACTCAATGGCCATGAATGTTATCTTGTGCGTCTCAGATCCTCAAACAAAACTGTTCAACGGAAAATCTGATTTATAGTTGATAGCACAATTGTCATGTCAGACATATAAACGGCTTGTCTACAAACTTGTGAGTAATCAAATATATGAGCTGATTTTCGGACCATAAACTGTAAAAATGCTTCTTGAGGGGTTCAGATTTTCTCCCACCCTTTCCTCTACACCTCAAATAAACTTAAATTGAGACAAAGTGCAATGAATAAGTTAACAAATACATACAATGTGGTGTTTTGGGATGTTATTGAGTTGGATGACAATAAAATAATGGTTGATCTTCATACGTTTTTGCTTTGGCCTACTGAGATGCTTTGCTATATGATGCTGTAAAAGAATATGAATAATGTCTTCCCCTTTCCAAGTGGATGTGACATTGGACTGTTGTGGTGAAAAGGGAGCAGATTCAAAAGGCAAACATTTTGAGTTACCGGCTCAATACATTTACACCCTCACCTATGGCTTTGGATAATGGCCGAAAAGATAATGATGATTTTTTGACAAACTCAAATATTATAAATGTATGTTTATGCAGGGCAAAACTCACAACTCAGATGGACCAGAAGGAACAATATTTTGATTTCATTATAAAGCTGCAGCACCAGCAGTAGTGCTGAGGGGTCTAGATGTGTGAATGTGAATGAATGAGTGTGTAATCAGAACTTCTTTAAGATGGTCCTGGGTTCGAATCCAAGTCAGAACCGGGTCTGAGTGGAGTTTGCATGTTCCCCCTGTCTCTGCACAGTTTTCTTCCAGTGTCCCCTACCACTCCGGTAATCTAGCCGAATGTCAACATCTGGAGATGGGTCCCTGGGCACAGGGACTACTGCTCGGCCATGGAGGATGGATCCAATGCAGAGGACATAGTTCCCTTAATGGATAAATTAAGTATACCTTGATTTTTACATTTAATAAACCACCCTCCAAGAATAAAATGGTTTACGGCTATAGATGGATAGAATCCCATTTTGCAATTCCTTCCACAACTTTGCTTTAACTTTTGTAGATCTCAGGCCCAATTTTTCCAAAGTCTGAACATTAGGACACATCCCAAGCAACTGAGCCTAGTCAAACTAGAAAACCTCCACAACTGCCATCCCAGCTTACACACAGCATCCACCAGTCTCTTCTGATCTCCTGCCAAAGCCATATGTGTGCATGACAACTACAGCGGTGGAAGGTGCATCCCCGACAACTTTCTCTCAAGATGGCCGCCTGTGTACTTTGCATGTTCGCGGCGGGAGCAGTGAGTTGGAACCCCAGGCAAAGCAGCTGAGCAGCTGTACGGGCAGGTGTTGGCCAACGTGGAGGAAGGAGGGATCTTTGACTGGACATGCCGCACGCTCTCCTCCGTCATATGCTGTAGAACATCTGGGGGAGGACGCCAATGGTGTTGGGAGATGAGAGAACGTGGACGTGTATGTAGGGAGGCAGCGGACATGTTGGATTGGTTGTGAGAGGTGACAAAGAGCCAGATGTGAGGTGTGTGTGTGGATGTAACAAGAGGATGTACATACAAGCTGCTCGGGTAAGATGGGGTAGATGGAGTTAGGATGGAGTTAGGATGGACTGAAATGTAAGTGCAAAAAGTACACCCATTAAAAATTCATGTATAGAAAGTAAGTAGTAAGACAGCAAATAAAAGTCAAGTATTACCAGATTAAGTATGATTGGAAGTACTGTACATTTTTACACAATGAAAAAGAAGTTACATTTATAAAACTAATGGAGCTGCAATATGGAAGTCTGCTCATGTAGAGTTAACGTTGATAATTCAAGAAATTCACAAAAATCCAATTATCAAGAGTTTGAAGATGCCACCACGCCTCTTCTTACATCGCCCTATGTGTACTCTGTCTGCTAATGGATGTGCTGCTGATGTGTTTTCAATTTTTTTGCCTCTCTATAATACTTTTGTTTCAGATTTCAGACTTGTATTTCTTACTGCTCTTTTATGTACAGTATGGGGAGCGCTTAATTACCGGGTCTCTGAATTGCTCTTTGCAGTAAACAAACCTTACATACTTACTAAATAGTTGTCTGATTTGCAGGTTCACCTCTGCCCTAAAAATACCTGTTACAACAAAACATTATACAGAATGTGTTCATAATTTCGAGGTTTTCAGGTATTGAGATCATTGCTCGCAAACAGGCAAAGTCCCTCTGAGAAAAATCTAATATATTCTTACTCCCTGAACCTGGAGGTGGGCAGGCATTTCCAAGACCCATTCACTTTTGGGACTGTTCCATTGCGCCATGTTCCATTGCGGAAGGATGTATAAGATTATAGCTGCATGAATCTGAAACACTGCCTACTCATGTGTATAGTCCTGACTTTGGGCACCAGCAGGAGGAGAGCCCCTGCGCTGCTTAGACTCTGAGTTTGTTCCTACGACACTTACATGTCACGGATGTACTGTGGTGCATGACCATGGAGAGACATGTCCACAAGCCGAGTAAGACTATACTGTGTATATTCATTAATTCATTCATATCAAACAGCTATGCTATAAAGAGTGGGACTTATACAAACCAAATAGCTGAATTCGTGGAGAAAAGAGTATTAAAAGGATCCAACACGTTTGAAAGAAAGAGTAAGAGGAGAGACTTATGATAATAGTATAGGTATTCACAATCTAGAAATGTTTGGACCACATTTTTTTGTATGGTAAAAAGCGCCAATGCCAGACAGATTCGGCCAAAGTTCTACCCGGATTGATCAATGCAAGATCTAGTTGATGAAATGTGAGAAGTGTCCAGAGGAGAGTTCCCGACAGCCTGGGCAGCACAACCAAATCATCCTGCGCATCGATTCTGTCTATATATTGCATTTTCACTAAACCACCAAAACTATGCATTCAATCCACTCCAATTTGAAGCAATGTCAAATTAGAGGCCAAGACGCTCTAGCACAAACCTGTTTAGATTACCATGCAGGACTAAACGCTCTGCAATATAACGTCTATTTATTCACCTCTAATCAGCAAATACTTGTCCATTTACCTGAAAATATCCTTTTGTTTGCAGTGGACAATTTGTCTAAGCAGCGAGATAAACCTTTTTGTTTCCCTTGATGACTACGTGTGCATCAGAATGTATAGGTAGATTTATCAGGCCCACCATATGCATAGGCATCCCCCTAGCCTTGTAATAAAGCCAATTTAGAATACAATAAGGCGACTGGTCAGAGAGGCCTGGGTTAGCTAATGACAAGCGATATCTCCAATGCAATGAAGAAGCAGAGGAAGGCTTGAAATATTTGCTCAGGAGACACGCCGGGGGTTTCAATCTCTCCACAAATCCATTTATACGTTTGCCGCCTGATTTATAGCCTTATTTTAACTGTCTTCTACATGCAAATGCACTGCGACCGCTAAGAGAAATATACATAATGTGATTCTCAGGGTCATCCCTCCAGCCTGTCAAGTCGAGGGAGGTAGGTATAGGTGGGTAGGTGGGACGAAGGGGGAGAGGGGATTTAGGGAATTAGACTTTCCATAAGGGGGTGGGGGGTGACGAGGCGGGCAAGGTGGCTGTCCAGACGCCTCACCCTCATCTGAATAAAACCCACATTATAACACTATAGGCCATACGGAGATATTCATCATTCACGTCCGCGCCTCTATCATTATTCGCACATAGATTTCCAAGAGCCATGAGGAGGCATCAGCGCTGGGACTATAATTTAATTACATCTATATTACATACGATTCCCCCGTTGGAGGGTTTTTTGACTTTGAATGTCACAGGTGTAAAGTATGCCAGTTTTTGTAATTGAAGTAAAATAATGTTTGTTGTGGTAATAGAAGTATAAAGGGCTTTTGAAAAGTATACAAAATAGATGTAAAGCATAATGTATATGTGGTGTACACACTGATATTGTTTTTTTGTAAATACAGGTGAAACTGGGAACATGCAAATATTCATTCCATACACAATGATATATGCCAAGCCTTTGTTTGTTATAATTTTGATGATTATGGCTTATAGTCCCATTTTCAATATTACATTGTCAGAGATAATTTGGGGGTTTTACAGCAGGGAGCCAATTATCAACAATTAAAGGCTTGATCTATCTTATTGTCCGTGTAGTGAGTCCATCTGAGTTTCACATATGAGTTGAATTGCAGAAGTAAATTGACTTTTGAACGATTTTCTGTTTTCTGATTTTCACCTGCATATAGGCTTCTTTAATATTTCTGTGCAGATGCTCTTGGTCGGGAGAAGGATTTTAACTATTGTGCTTCCTTTGGGCGCAGGTGGAAACCAGGACCACTAGAAACAGGCAGTCTCTACACACAAAGGACCGGGCCAACACAGGAATCAAACCGGGGACCTTCTTGCTGTGAGGCATGAGTTCTTGTCAATGATACTAGTACCAGTTCAGAATGTACGTCATATTTATTGCACTTTCAGACTCCCCATTTCACATTTGTGGAACTGCACCTTCTGACTATCAATCATTTTCACACAGAAAATCCATACCTTAGATTTTTAGTTACACATTCCTTGCAATAGACAAGTTATAAAACGATTACTATATGCTCCCAACCTTTTACAATATGTGGGAATGATGGATGTATGTACTATTATCAACATGTTCACAATAGTAAGAGCCATAATATATTAACCTAACTCTGTGAAGCAGGTCAGGCAAAGTTGGTCAGAGGCTGAGGCAATCCCATTTAATTATTGAATTAAACACATTAGGTAATAAGACCTAGTGTGGGCACCTTAAAGCGAAAGTCAAATAAGTTTGCTCCTCTTAAATACACAAGAGAGACCCCTGTTGTTCTCTTCCCTATCACCACGACACTAAGTAACTATTTGATCATGACTTAGTGTAATTAGGCTCCATTAGGTGCATTAGCTCAAACACAGCCCTCCGTCCTGTGCCTTCACCTCCTCCGGTCTCACACAAACCCACTGATTTGAAAATGATTCCCCGACAGGCAATAAGCCATACGTCCTGACATGTGACGAGTTCAACTTTATTAAAGATATCTGTCATGGTGCGTCTACCGCCTGGACACGACAAAGTAGATCCATCAATTAGAGGCCCACCAATCGCATTAGCTGGTATTAGACTTGCCTTTGCATTTTCTTTCACATTATTTTATGCATTTTTCACTCTGTGGTGAACGAAGAGATGGGCCAGACAAGAGAGGAGAGGTTGTGAAGTGTTGTTGTCATCTGTGGAAAGTGGACAAATGCACAAAAACAAGTGTTAAATATTCACAAGAAAATATGTTCATTGGATTAGGCAAAATATGTAGCATTTATGACTTTAATAACAGGTCGGTGTGTTTCAGCCATGCAGTCAATAATATATGCTCTCTTGCATTTATATAGACGGACTTTATGGGCAAAGTTTGGCTTCCACACACTTTGGCTACTTTCAACTTTCATTAAGAGTAAACACTTCTAGCTCGGTAATCATTGGTGTCACGCTTACTAATTTGGGTGAATCTGTGGGTCAGCGCTCCATATCTTCTTGCTGTTTTTTTTTTTTTTTTCTATTTGTTCTATAATTCTCCTGATTGGCTCTTTGGTTTCTATGTTGTTGCTATCCACAAATGGCTCCCGTAGATGGTTAGTCTCTACAATCTATATGTGTTTCCACTGTTGGGGCCTGTTCTCTGTTATTTTGTTAGTTTGGGTTAGAGACTTTTGTGAATGGTTTGTTAGTTGTGTAGTGCTTTAAATCAGCTTTTTCAGAAAGAAAGTGATAAAGTCAGTAAGCAAGTAATCTTTATTTATATACCGCCTTTCACAGACCAGAGTCACAAAGCGGTTTACTAGCGGTTTGTTATTTTTTGGGCATTTGTCCTCTCACTCCACACAGAGAGATGGAAGCGGGGTCGCCAGTACATGAGGCGCATGCCAGACCTATTGTACATATTTTTAGTGGTAGGGGAAACCGGAGTACCCGGAGGAAACCTACCCAGACACGGGGAGAACATGCAAACTCCACTCAGAAAGGCCCAGGACCTTCTTGCTGAGAGGTGAGAGTGCTATCCACTCAGCCATCGCGCCAAGTGGATAGCGCCACCCTCACACAGCCAATTGTGTGAAAGATGAAGACAGCATGAAATGTCATTGCTTTCGTAGGACTCTGTAAGATTTGAGACACAATTAGAGCTGTTTTAACTTCAACAAACATGCAGGTTTTTACCTGAGTGACCTCTTCTGCCTATTGCTACCAATGCATATAGCAATCCAATGTGGGCTCAACCAAAATGAGTAAAAATTTGCATATTTTATTACTTTTTAGCTTGTTACAAATGCATTTTAATGTGTAAATCATGATTATGAAATTATAGTAAAACAGTATTTACGAGACAATGAACCTGGAGGCAGAAAGCATGTTGTAGTATCATGATTTGTTCACAACAGTCATTCTTTCGTTGTTAGGTTGGTGAAAAAAATAAATACCCATTA